TGCAATACTATGCAGCCATGCAGCCACAAAAAGGAGTGAATTATGAACATTTGCAGTGACCTGGATGAGAGTAGCTACTATTATTTTAAGTAAAGTAACTCAGGAGTAGGAAACCAAACATCATATGTTCTCACTGATATGTGGGAGCTAAGGTATGATGACACGAAAGCATGATAATAATATGATAGATGTTGGGTACTTGAGGGGCAGAGTTGGAGGGCAGTGAAGGATAACAGACTACAAATATGGTGCGGTGTACACTGATTGGGTGATGGGTGCACCAAAATCTCACAAATCACCAAAAAAGAACTTACTCATGTAACCAAATACCATGTGTACCCCAATAACTTATGGGGAAAAATTAAACTGAAGTAACAAGTTCAAAAAAAAAAACCATAAAAATAAAATAAGATTTTAGTACAGAGGGAAAAAGATATACAAACATCTAATAAACATTTGAAAAATTTTTCAACATGACTAATCATCAGGGAAATGCAAATTAAAACCACAATGAGGTACCAACATACTCCTGCCAGAATGGTCATAAGTAAAACAGCTAAAAGGAATATACGTTGGTACATGTGGTGAAATGAAATGCTTTTACACTGCTGGTGGAATGTAAACTATTACAACCACTATGGAAAACAATATGGAGATTCCTTCAAGAACTGAAAGAAGAACCGTCTTTCAATCCAGCAATTCCACTACCGAGTACCTACCCAAAGGAAAAGAAGGTATTATATGAAAAAGACACATGCACACACGTTCACAGTGGCATGATGCGCAATTACAAAAATATGGAACCTACCGAAACGCCCATCGACTGATGACCGGAAAGAAACTGTGGCAAATGTGCACCAGGGAATACTACTTGGCCGAAAAGCAGAATGAATTAATGGCCATTGCAGCAACTTGGCTGCAACTGGAGGTCATTATTCTAAGTGAAGCAACCCAGGAATGGAAAACCTAATACTGTATGTACTCATTCATAAGTGGGAGCTAAACCATGAAGATGCAGAGGTATTAAAATAATATAATAAACTTTGGGGACTCAAGGGAAGGGTGAGAGGGGTGAGGGATAAAAGACAACATATTGGGTACAGTGTACACTGCTCGGGTGATGTGTGCACCGAAGTCTCAAAACTCACCACCAAAAAATGTATCCATGTAGCCAGAAACCATCTGTACTCAAAAAATTGAAAGAAAAATACAGAAACTGTTAGAATATAAATCATTATATGGTAAAGACACATGCACATGAGTATTCATTGCAGCTCTCTTCACAATACCAAAGACATGGAATCAACCTAAATGTCCATCAGTGACAGATTGAATACAGAAAATGTGATACATATACACCATGGAATATTATGCAACCATAAAAAAGCAAGGTCATGTCTTTTGAGGGAACATACATGGAGCTAGAGGCCATTATCTTTAGCAAACTAATGCAGGACCAGAAAAAAACTGCTGCATGTTCTCAGTTATAAGTGGGAGCTAAATGATGAGAACTCATAAACACAAAAAGGGAAAAAGAAATGCTGGGCCTTATTTAAGAGTGGAGGGTAGAGCCGGGCGCAGTGGCTCACGCCTGTAATCCCTGCATTTTCGGAGGCTGAGGCGGGTGGATCATGAGGTCAACAGATCGAGACCATCCTGGTCAACATGGTGAAACCCCGTCTCTATTAAAAATACAAAAAATTAGCTGGGCATGGTGGTGCGTGCCTGTAATCCCAGCTACTCAGGAGGCTGGGCCAGGAGAATTGCTTGAACCCAGGAGGCGGAGGTTGCAGTGAGCTGAGATCACACCATTGCACTCCAGTCTGGGTAACAAGAGCGAAACTCAGTCTCAAAAACAACAACAACAACAACAACAACAACAACAACAACAAAACAGTGGAGGGTGGGAAGAGGGAGAAGAGCAGAACTCTGGGTTACTTTGCTTAATACCTGGGGGATGAAATAATCCATACAGCAAACATTCATGACAAGGGGTTTACCTATATAACAAACCTGCACATGTTCACTTAAACTTGAAATAAAAGTTTAAAAAGGCAAAAATAAATAAACTGGGGAACATTTTTAAAAATTTCTCTTTTATTCTGTCTTCTTGGCCCCTCACTTGCAGAGGTCCACGTACACCAATGTCTAGTATCATCACAGATGGCATCCAGAGGAATAGCAACGCTGAGGGAGCTAGGCATCAATGACAACATCACAGAGTATATGTAATCTGGGGGGCTTCAGCAACAACTATAAAGACCAAAAGACCTTTGAGATGAGGAGGCTTTAGAATTTAGAAATGAGTTTCTGCTTTCTGAGCAATGTCCTATTTGCGGGGAGAAAATCATGAATTTGGATTGAGCAGGATAAAGGAAAATGTTGAGTAGGTTTTAGAGGCAATTCAAAAATTGTTAGTTGAACATTGGCCCTGGACTCTATGTCATCTCTTTGTATCTGAGATGTTGCTCCGGGCCATCATGAGCACAGAGTAGTAGCTGAGATAAAGATGAAGGTAACAAATGGCCCATAGGAGGTGCACTGAGATGGTGAATATCATTCAGGAAAGGGCAGTCATCATGTGTTTGCCTAGCAGGGCCCGCACGTAAAATTTTGTTGGACATTCCTATAAAATGGGCACCAGGCAAATGGCAAATTGATATGAAATCCAAGTCATTTTCTGCCCAGAGAGCCAGTGATTCCAGGATAGTTTTCATCCACTCAGAGCACAAATTAAACAATTCCCCCCAAAATGAATTACATGCTAGTGATAGGGTCTATGATTTATTATCAAAAAGAGAAGAGATCAAGCGTGTGAGGAAGTGTGAGGAGGAGAGTGTACCCAATCAGATCACAAGTGTTTCCAGTGAGTGGGGAGAGAATTACATTTCATACTGGAAAGAAACAAGGAAAAGAGGGCATTAAGACTGTCATTCATTGTGCATTGGCACCTCAAGGTATCTGGATGTTAGGTTAAAGTAGGGGTAACAAGAGAGGCATGTCGTTGAGTGAGGTTGGAGTTGCAGAAACTGTTGCCATGAACTTGGGGAGAAAAGATGAGAATGATCAAAATGATACCTGAGAAGGTCCTTGCAAACAAAGAGGCTATTTGGGGAACTCTCTTCAATCTGCCTTCATTTTTTAGGTAATATGTTGTTTCTCTTCTCCTAAGGGGTTCTCCATGAAGCAGATAATCACAGCTCTTGTTGTGGGAAAAGGGCTGTCATTCTGCCATCTCGGTAGGAACTCCAAAAAGCTTAGAATGAAGGGTGAGGACAAGGGCTACAGAGAAACATTCCCAGAGAAAACGAAAAATTTCAGCAATGATATGGATTAGTGACTGCTGTCTATTTCATTTTGACCCTCTAAAATAAGTGTGTTCCTTGCCTTTTCCCTCTCTCAGCCTTCTTTGTTTGATTTGTATAAGGCAGATAGTGTGTCCCTTTCGTGCACATGATGAGAGAGATTGCAAGTGATAATTTGTAGTCACCTCACAGACGCCACATCCTGATTAAATAAGTTACCACACTTCACTCTGAACCTGTTCCTGTAATTGAATTGCCTTCAGAGATTCCCTACAGGGTTAGTGTTTTTGGTATGTGGAAAGTATATAAGCCAGTTGTGACTGAATGGAACTGGTTGCCAAGGATGTCGCCTCATGACTGCAGTCACAATAACCATAGCTTGTGGAGTCCTCTCCTTTTGATTAGGGCTGTCTGTGTGTCTCACCTTGATCAATGAAACGCCAGAGAAGTGACACCGTCTGCCATTCAAAGGTAGGTCCTAGGACGCCGTGCGCCTTCTCCATGAATCTTTTGGAAGGCTTTCTTTGGTGAAAGCCAATCACCATTCATTAAGTCCAAGAACCATGAGACTCTCATGATTTGAGGAAATTAAAGGCATGAATGGGGAGGTGAGGTAGGGAAGGAGATAACCAGTCAGTTTCCAGGTATTCACCCAGCCCCAGTGCTAAGTTGGACATGAGTAAAGCATCCTCTGAAATCCCAGCCTAAAAGATCCCTCAGAAAATGTGACTCCCATCACATGGTCTACCACTCACACAAGTTCAGTAAACTCATAAAGCTGGGAGAGATCAAGATAAATGATTGCTTTTAGCCAATAGGTGCTGGGACATTTGCTATGCTGTAATTCGTCACTGGAAGAGTGCTCACTGTGTTCATGTGCATGAGTTGTGTCTATTTCAATAATAATCTACATGTTCTCTGATCTAAAACCATGATCACTTATTTCTTTATATATATATTATATATAATAATAATTATATATACATAATATATATAATTAGGTTTTAGGTTTTGGGGCACATGTGAAGAACATGCAGGATTGTTGCATAGGTACACACATGGCAATGTGGTTTGCTGCCTTCCTCTCCATGTGACCATTTATTTCCAAACAGAAACTCCTGGATTCTGCCCATATAAAATGAAAAAATCTTTAGATTATTGCAAATAAGAATAATTGGGATTCTTTAAGGAAAATCACTGGGCTCCAGTGATTCTCTAATTATTTCTTGGATTGAAAACTTCACATGCAAAGCTTGTCATCTTTTCCTTCACTTCCTTCACAGCAGCCCACACAAAGCCAGGCCCAGTGTGTATACACAGTGTTTATACATCCTGGAAACAATGGAAAGGATTAAGAAATTCCACATGATTTTCCTCAAGTTACAGTTTCTGCCTAAAGCCACCAGGTAAACCTACACGGCTGTAAATAGCCACCTAACATCTCAGTGCCCTCAGTTATCTGAGATTGAGTCAATATTTTGGTTAAAATTGTCTGATGTCAAATTCGTGGAATAGAAAGATGCTGTTCCTGATGTCCTGTCAGACATTCCAAGGACCTTGCCACTCACTCCCTTTGTCACAGGTGAAAGAACATTCATCGCCTTTGATATCATGACATCTCCCTTAGAATTCCCGGGTCCCTCTTGGGGATGACCACTTCCTCTTTCCCCCTCTTAAAGCAAGAACAAAATCACGAGAGGTTTGGTGCTGTTTTAATGACCAAGTATGTGGGGGATGAGGTGAGAAGGGATTATTTTGTTAGCAGGCTCTGGGAATTCCATGGTCATGTAGAAAGAGGGATTTCTTAACAATGAGGAGTGTGATTATCTTCCTCAATTGTAGACAAGCACTCTGGTCAGGGAGATGTCTCCCCACACTTCCACCATATTCACAAACAGTGGTGGGATTCGATGAAGAAAGTTGTAAATATGTTGGCCATTTACCATTACCTATAGGAGGAAAAATGCATCAGAAGGACAGTAGGCCACCAAACAAGTTTTCAGCCTCCTCTACACTCTCCCTTAGTACCAATTACATTCCCCAAGAAAACTCCTAGTTATACAAGTGAAACTAGTAGACACAATTCTGTTTGCGGATGAAGTTTTGTGCTCATTTAAGACAGTTGCTCACTTTATTTCTAATGTTCTCTCATGAAGTTCTACACTCTGTCATGCAGTCCCTGTTCACTCAGCCTCCCTTATAACCTGGATGATCCCCACCATCAAGGACTGTGTCTCAGGAACTTGAGACCTTGCATCTCTCACAGGGCCTGTCGCAGGGTTACTGCTCGACCATGTTCATTGAACGCATACCTTTCAGTGACACGAACTGTGACTGCATTTCACTCCTGATGGCAGTTTCTCTTTGGAGAAACTTACATCTGAGGTAATAGTGGCAAAGAATGAAACCCAGTGTTCTTAGAGAGTTAAAGGAGGACAGATATAAAACACATAATATTGTCTTCAACAACTTTTTTTTTTTTGAGAGGGAGTTTCACTCTTGTTGCTCAGGCTGGAGTTCAATGGCACAATCTTGGCTCACTGCAACTTCTGCCTCCCAGATTCAAGCAATTTTCCTGCCTCAGCCTCTTGAGTAGCTGGAATTACAGCTATGCACCACCACACCCATCTAATTTTGTATTTTTAGTAGAGGAGGGGTTTCTCCATGTTGGTCAGGCTGGTCTCAAACTCCCAACCTCAGGTGATCCACCTGTCTCAGCCTCCCAAAGTGCTGGGATTACAGGCATGAGCCACTGTGCCTGGCCATCATCAAAAACTTCTAAGCATAGGGAAAGATTCCTCACTTGAATCTGAATAAAATGTGAATCTTTTGGCCTACTCACTAGAGAAGGCAGGAAAGTATGGATATATTTTTTTATATTGAGACCATAGAGAAAGTCTCTAGGTACTAATTTATCAAATTTAAAATGCACACATTTTGAATCCGTTTTTCATTTTTTAAAAATTATCTACCAATATAAGCATAAGGAGGTTGGTAATTACAAAAGGATTGATTAGAAAGCTTAACACAACATCGTTTGTGAGAGCAAAATACTGAAGACAACTTTAATGCCCAAAAAGGGCATTAAATAATTTTGGGTAAACTTTTCAAAGCAATATTATGCAGCTTTACAAACTGAAGCAGCACCGTGGATTGATAACATCTTCAAGATACATTCTTTGACAACGAATCAACTTAGTTCCTAAAGTGTAATGTGTAGAGCGACTTTTATCAGGATTTGCTTAAAAACAAATAAAATCATAGAATATCTATATGCTTTCAAAGGAAAAGATTTCCTCTGAAGGGCTGGGAACAGTGGTTTATGCCTGTCATCCCAGTATTTTGGGAGGCCAAGGTGGGCAAATGAAATCAGGTCGAGAGTTCAAGACTGGCCTGGCCGACATGATGAAACCCTGTCCCTACTAAAAATAATTAGTTGTGGCATGCACCTGCAGTGGGAGGCTAAGGCAAGAGAATCGCTTGAATCTGGGTGGTGGCGGTTACATTGAGCTGTGATCATGCCACCGCACTCCAATCTGGATAGGAAAGTGAGACTCTGTCTCAAAAAATAAGATAAGAAAGTAAAATAAAAAGGTTCTTTCTGAGGGAGAGCAGAGTTCTGATAATGTTGCTCTTACAAGTAGAATTGGGGCCAAAAAGTGGACAAAGACATAATTTTTGAATGATTAAAATGACTCTTTTCTTAAGTATATTGTATACAATTGGCTAAATGAAAATTTAAATAGTAGCATAAGTGGAAATGATCACTATAGGAAAAGATGGAGGAGATTTTCCACTTTGGGAGAAATGGCAGGTGAACCGACCTTGACTTTGGTTAGATTTGGGAAAGAGCTGAGGACAGCAGTGCAAGCAGAGGGCGATCTCCGATGAGGACCTGGAACAGGAGTAGCTATGGGAGACGGGCCCCAAGGGACTGGTGGGGCCAGGTCAACAAGCCCTGGGAGCCCACAGAGGCTGGATGCTGAAAGCTCCTGGGGTGCTCACCTTGTATTCATCGTAATGCGCACAGATGCGCAGCTCAAATGATTTGCCATCCTCAAAGGGCACATTGTAGCATTTCTCCTCACACCGCCACATCCCAATCTCACGAGTGTTCATGATCACACAATCGCCAAAGTTCACTCGGAATTGGAAGGCAATATCTGAGTCCTCATTTGTCCCAGTGTAGAAATTCACCTCCAGCTGTGGGTCATTGCTGAGGGCAAAGCACACAGCATGTTGGGCAGGTCCCTCCCTTGTGCAAACACACACTCAACACACACACAAATCCCTTCTCCCTTTACCCAGGGCAAAAGTCTCCCTGATGATACTGCAGGCCTGGTTCCTGTGGGGATGCTTCAGCTCTTCAAGCCTCCAGACAGACAGAAATGCTGTTCTCCTCATTTCCAGATGAAAATTGAGCCCCAATCACTAACCTGGGCCTATGATTTGTTCATTCCCTGAAAGTTCTATGCCCTTTGATTAAGAGCCACATCCCCAATCTACTGAGTGTTCTCCTCCCCTAGGCCCCTGGCTGGCCCACATGCAGTTGCTGCAGGTCTGATGCTGGGTGCTGGAGAGTCTCCAGGACCTGCACCTGCATGAAGCCTCCATCCTACCAGCTAGACATTTCCACATCACTCACACATAACATCAAGCCCTTAGCAAATATTCTCCCTTCTCCTCCACTCCCTCCATTGGACCATGGAGTACTCACAGAAAAGAGAGTTTCGGTCTCCCTGTGATTATCACGCAGGAACCAATAGACAAGGACACAGGCAGTTTGTATGGCACCTATTAGGTATTTGAAAGTGAATTAGAGGTGCACAGTCAGGTGCAGCCTCCCCTCCTGTAACAGATTCCCATGATGCAGGAGGTTAGAGATCAAAGGGCAGACTCTGAGGCCTCCCCCTTTCACCCTTCCACAGTCAGGGCCTCATATTCCTGAAGATATGGTGGACCCAGAGGTAAGAACAAGAGCTCAGGAGCCAGGATGCCTGGATTCCAGTTCTCATTTTGCCTTATGCTAGCAGTGCCATCTTAGATCCTCTACTTGAACTCTCCATACCTCAGTTTCCGCAGCACAAGGAGGATTATCAGGAATTCCTACTTTGTAGGATGTTCTCCATAATAGAGGAGTTAATATATGTAAAACTCTCACCCCAATCCCTGTCATGTGTAGGGCCTGTGAGGGGTGACCTAGCAGAACAGGGGAGTCCCCCTGAAACACTGACCTGCCTTCATTTTCAACTCGGAAAATGAAAACAAGACTTGAGGATGTAAGAATTAAAAAATTCACTCCAGTAAATAACAATGCTTGTTAAAAGAGAAAGGGAAATGATGAAAGAACAGGAACCCCTGTGTGAGGGATGCACGTGCCTCACAATCATCAGGGGCCATGGACGTCCTCCCCAGGAGGGGACACATGCTGAGAGCACAGCCCCAGGACTTGCACACATGAAGCCTGTGGGTCAGGGACATAACCGGAGGGAATCATTGATTTCTACAATGACTACAAGTGGTTGATATTTTTCTGTATTTTTGAGATAGGGTCTTGCTCTGTTGCCCAGGCTGACATGCAGTGGTGCAATCATAGCTCACTGAAACCGCGAACTCCTGGGCGGCAGTGATCCTCACACACCTGCCCCCTCTTGAGTAGCTGGGGCAAAAGGTGCCTGTCACTCTGCCAGTCTGATATTTAAAATTTTCTAAAGAAAGGGTCTCACTATGATGCCCAGAGCGGTCTCACACTTCTGGCCTCAAGTTATCCTCCCACCTTTGCCTCCCAAATTGGTGGGATTATAGCCATGAGCCAGTGAATGCAGCTGCTTTGTTGACTGATATCCACTGTAAGCTCTGTCTGAACTGAGACTAAACTTGTTCCTTCATGGGTGGAGGAACAAATTTAGTCTCAGTTCACACAGAGCTTACAGTGGATATTTTGCATGATTCAGTCTCTGAAACTACAGCCTCTAATGTCCTTCCCTAGCAAATCAGTATCTGCACACCCTCCTGTCCCAAGATGGGAAGAATAGGCTGGGCTGGGATAGGGAAGCTGAGCCTGGGAGGCACAAGCCAGAGATAACTCTGTGCAGTCCCCACCTGAGGAACCATCACCCCCTAGTCTGCATTCCTCTTCTCACTCTTACTGGAAAGAGACATCCGCTGATCATACATTCCACTCTCATAAGTGATCTGTAATGAGTCCTCGGTAACTCACAATCCCCAAGATCCCCACCAGTTAAGCCACCTGGGATCCACACTGACACACATGAAAGGACACACAGCTGCTTCATCAGAGGTGCTGCTGTGTGGGGAAGAACCTTCACATGCACAGAAGGCCACATGCATGTCCCCAGTTCAATACCCAGTCACATCCCAGCAGACACACACCCACAGTCACAGAGCCATGTACTCACTGAGTCACACATAACTGTTCACTGTGCATATAAAGATGCTCATGCACTGGTCTGGCTGCACTCACACACACAAACTCACATCACAGACAGGAAGAAAAAGCACACTCACCCCCTTACACTCACTCAGACACCTGCCCCTCCTGGTGGGCCATCCACCTCTCACCTAAAGTCACATCATCTCAGCAGATTTCACTCTCATCAGACATTATCATATGCTCACAGAGGGTTACATTGGTCCAGGATCCACACCCCACAACCCCCAGGCATCTCAGATACCACAGCCTCAGGGTTGCTCTTCCACACCCACAACTCTCAGTAAAGCATGCACAGAAGGAATGCTCATATTTTCATCTCATAACAGCTCTCCTGTTTCTTTTTTGGTTTATGTGACTTGAGATTATTGAAGGCTGTGCCTTTTCAACTCACTGGTAGTGATGACATTGTTCTCTTCTGGGCGACTCTTCGGAATTCTGTCCTGTCTTCTGTGTGAATCTCTGAGTTGCAGCATTTAAATGATCCCTTTCGGCCCTGCCCTCTGGCTTCATTCCAGGCTCCATGCTCCTCCAAGTAAGCTTTCCCTGAAGCATGAGAAAGGCTCAGATGTCAGGAGGAAACTCAGTCACAACCATAGCTGTTTGTAGGTCTGTGTCTGTAATGCAGCAGAAATTAAGGTCTGGGAGGTGTTAGGCTGTGGTTAGGTTACCAGGGAAATACATACATAAGGACGATGGAGTGAGGGGCAGTGATTGAAAATCCCAGACTTTGTGCCTCTCAGGCCTTTTCTCTACTATGCAGAATCTACCCAGAAGTTGTACATTTTCTCAAGTTGTACAACGGCTAAAAACAAAAAGTTGGGGAATCTGGGGAGAGACGTTAGCCCTAGAAGGTAATTCTTCTCTTTGCCTTTTAAGGCTCTGGGAGAGCACTGACCTTGATCCTCGGATCTGGGGAGAGAAGTAGGGAAAGTTCTTTCATGAACCTGCCCCACACTAGACCGCTTGGCTCTGCCAGGTGAGGGCCACTCTCATCTGTCTGTCACACACCTGGGCTCTAAGTACACCCTCTTTCTCTTGGAGTCCATGGAAATCAAAGTTTCAGAGACACTGTTTCTCCTGCAGATTCCAGGAGAAAGGTAAAATTTGTTTTTCTCTTTGGTTTTTAAAAAATTTATTATAGGTTCAGGGATATATATGCAGATTAACTCACATCATGGGGTTTGTGGTACACAGGATTTCTTCACCTGGGTACTATGCCATAGTACTGAATAGTTATTTTTTCTGCTCCTATCCCATCTCTTACCCTCCACCCTCAAGTAGGCCCCAGTGTGTGTTGTTCCCTTCTTGGTGTCCATGAGTTTAATCATCTAGTTCACACTTATAAGTGAGAATATGCAGGATTTGGTTTTCTGTTCCTGCATTAGTTTGCTAAGACTAATTGACTCCAGCTCCATCCACATTCCTGCAAAATACATAATCTCATTTTTTAGGACTGCATAGTATTCCATTGTGTACATGTACCACATTTTCTGTATCCAATCTGTCCTTGTTGGGCGTTTGGGTTCATTCTGTGTCTTTGCTATTGTGCTTAGCATTGCAATTAACATTCATGTGCATAAGTCTTTATGGCAGAATGATTTCTATTCTTCTGGGTATACACCAAGTGATGAGATTGCTAGGTTGAATGGTAGTTCTGTTGTTAGCTCTTTGAGGAATCACCACACTGCATTCCACAATGGGTGAACTAATTTACACTGTCACCAACAATGTGTAAGTGCTTCCTTTTATCCACAACCTTGCCAGCACCTGTTTTTTTTATTTGTTTGTTTGTTTTTTTAATAAGAATCTTTCTGACAGGTATGAGATGGTATCTCACTGTGGTTTTGATTTGCATTTCTCTAATGTTCAGTGATGTTGAGCTTTTTTAATATGTTTGCTGGCCACCTGTATGTCTACTTTTGAAAAGTATCTGTTCCTGTCTTTTACTCATCTTTTTTGTTATTGTTGTTGTTTTAAGATAGGTCTCACTCTGACACTTAGGCTGGAGTGGTGTGGCACCATCTTGGTTCACTGCAATCTCTGGCTCCCGGGCTAAGGTGATCCTCCCAGCTCAGGCTTTGGCATAGCTGGGACTGCAGGCACATGTCACCATGGTAGGCTAATTTTTCTATTTTTAGTAAAGATGGGTTTTTGCCATGTTACCCAGCCTGTTCTCAAATTCCTGGGCTCAAGTGCTCCACCAGCTTTGGCTGCCCAAAGTGCTGGAATTACAGGCAAAAGTCACTGTGCCAAGCCCTTTGCCCACTGTTTTATGGGCTTGTTTCTTTCTTGTAAAGTTGTTGAAATTTCTTATAGATGTATATTAAACCTTCTTCAGATACATACTTTGAAAATATTTTCTCCTATTTTGTAGGCTGTTTGCTCTGTTGATACTTTCCTTTGCTGTGCAGAAGCTCTTTACTTTAATTAGATCCCATTTGTCAATTTTTGCTTTTGTTGTGATTTCTTTTGACATCTTCATTACAAAATCTTTGCCCATGCCTGTGTCCTGCATGGTATTGCCTAGGTTGTCTTCCAGGGTTTTTATAGTTTGGGTTTTATGTTGAAGACTTCAATCTATCTTGAGTTGATTTTTGTATATGGTGTAAAGAAGGAGTCCAGTTTCAATCTTCTACATATGGCTATCCTGTTCTCCCAGCATCATTTCTTGAGTAGGGTGTTGTTTTTCCATTGCCTCTTTGGTCAGCTTTGTTGAAGATCAGATGGTTATAGATGTGCAGGCTCCTTTCTGGGCTCTCCATTCTTTTCCATTGGTCTATGTGTCTGTTTTCATATCAGTACCATGCTGTTTTTGTTACTGTAGCCTTGTAGTATAGTTTGAAGTTGAGTAATGCGATGCTTCCAGTTTTGTTGGTTTTGCTTAGAATTGCCTCAGTTATTTTGCTCTTTTTTTGTTCCATGTGAGTTTTAAAATTTTTAAAAATTCTGTAAAGAATGTCATTCTGTCAAGAATAGTTTTTTTCTAATTCTGTGAAAATGCCTAGTTTGATAGGAATAGCATTGCATCTGTAAATTTCTTTGGGCAGTATGGCTGTTTTAATGATATTGATTTTTCTTATTCATGAGCATGGAATATTATTCCATTGCTTTGTATCATCTCTGGTTTCTTTGAGCAGTGTTTTGTCATTCTCATTGTAGGGATCTTTTACCTCTCTGGTTAACTTTATTTTTAGGTATTTTGCTCATTTTATGGCAATTGTGAATAAAATTGCAATCCTGATTTAACCCCATGCGTTGCTGTTTTTTGGCAAATAAGAGTTCTAGTGACTTTTGCACATTGATTTGTATTCTGAAACTTTGCTAAAGTTGTTTACCAGATTAAGGGTCTTTTGGGTGGAGAGTATAGGGTTTCCTAGATATAGAATCATGACATCTGCAAACAGGGATGGTTTGACCTTGCTCTCTATGTGGATGCTCTTTCTTTCTTTCTCTTGCTGGATGATCTGGCCAGGACTTCCCATACTATGTTAAACTGGAGTGCCGACAGAGGTCACTGCAGAAATTGTGATTTGAAAATCCAAGTTGAATTTCTGCTTCATTCATCACGGAGATTTTGACTGTGATCTATCAAATACAATACAAAACAAAACGAAACAAAACAAAACAAAACAACATTCCTCTCTTATTCTGTCACATTGGCCCCCTCATTTGCAAATACGGGGCTCAACGCACCAATGCTCAGCACCACGGACAGCGCCCCAGGGCAAATAGTTTTGACGGACTTGGGTATCAAGGACAGTATTATCACAGAGCAGATTTATTCTGTGGGAGGCTTCAACAAAAACCGAAAAGCCTAAAGATCTTTGAGAATGAACGCTTTAGAGTTCAGGAATGACTTTCTGGCCTTTGAGCAATGCCGTATTTGCTAAGAGAAGACCAGGAATTTGGGTTGAGGAGCATGAAAAGGAAGTTGAGTAGGTCCCCAGAGGCAATTCAAAATTTCTTTGTTGAACATTGACTCCTGAACTCTATGTCATTTCTTTGTATCTGAGATGTCATTTTATCCACCATAAGCAAAGTAGTATCTGAGATTAAAATGTTGTAACAAATGGCCTATGTGAACTAAAATGAGCTGTTGAATATCAGTCAAGAAAGGGGAGTCACTGTATGTGTTGCAAGGCAAGCATGTAAGAATCTATAGGTTATTCAAATAAAATGGGTATCACCCGGGGCAAGCAGATATGAAATCAAACTCATGTTTTGCTTAGGAAGTTATGGGCCTCAAGATAGTCTTTATCCACTCAGAGCAAGAATTGCCTAATTCACCAAGAAATTATTTCCATGCTGGTGATGGGGTCTATAATCCATTGTCAAATAGAGAAGTGACCAAGGCTGTGACAGGGATGGTGTAAGGAGGACAGTGTTCCTAATCAGAACCTGAGACTTTCCTGTGACTGGAGAGGGAATTTCAGCCCATACTAGAAAGAAACAACAGAGAAAGGCATGAAGAGTGTAATTCACTGTGCATTGACACCTCCAGGTATCTAGATGTAAGGTTAAAGAAGCAGTACAGAGAGAAACATACCCATGAGTAAGGTTGGAGTCGAACAAGCTGCGACAATGAACATGAGTAAAGACGATGATGATGATCAAAATGATGCCTGAGATGGGCCCAGCAGAAAAAAGAGGCTATTTGATGAAACCCTCTTCAATCTGACTTTTAGGGAATATGTTGTTTACCTTCTCCTTAGTGATTCTCCATTTGCAGTATGAAGCAGATAATCACAGCTCTTGTGGAGGAAAAAGGGCTGTTATTCTGCCATCTTGGTAAAAGCTCTAAGAAGCTAAAAAGGGAAGATAAAGCCAATTGCTTCAGGAAAACATTACCAGATAAAATGAAAATAGGGTCTTGTTGGTTTTCTCAGAATATGGCCCATTACTGTGGTCTATTTTCTTTTCTGTACTTTGTTGAATTTTTAAATTTATGTATAAAGAGCTAACATGGTTTCTTTCATTGGGTGGATGCCTTGGTTATCCATTCAAGGGAGACATATCTTACTCCAACTTAATGAAATATATATTTTTTTTTGGCAAGAAACTCTTTTTTAAATTTTTATTTATTTATTTATTTATTGCATTTTAGGTTTTGGGGTACATGTGCAGAACATGCAAGATAGTTGCATAGGTACACACATGGCAGTGTGTTTTGCTGCCTTCCTCCCCTTCACCCACATTTGGCATTTCTCACCAGGCTATCCCTCCCCAGCTCCCCCGCCGCTGTCCCTCCTCTATTCCCCCCAATAGACCCCAGTGTGTAGTACTCCCTTCCCTGTGTCCATGTGTTCTCATTTTTCCTCACCAGCCTATGAGTGAGAATATGCGGTATTTCATTTTCTGTTCTTGTGTCGGTTTGCTGAGAATGATGTTTTCCAGATTCACCCATGAAATGTATATTTTTAAGTACTTGTGAAAGCACTGGGGCACATATTGAGGCAGTATTTCTGGAACAGACCATGCTGGTTTGAGCAGATAGGACAAGAGTGAGAATCCAGGCTGAATTTTCATAAGTGGATCTAGTAGAG